GCCTCTTGGACACAACAGTCACTAACTTCTGATTTTGGTGTCTGATCACACGACCTTGTTCTCTTTATAGGGATTTTTATTGGTGATCTTTTTCTTGTTTTCCCTAGCTTTTTCCTAGACAAATTCTTTTAAATTTTTACTTGGAAGTCCAGTGGGTTGCCCCAACTTTTGCATAAGAGACTTGTTTTCAAGTTTTGACTTAGCGGGGCTTTTTGTACTTTTTGTTTCTTTCTTATTCATAATTTCCATTCTAAACAAGTCGTTGATCTTTATGCCGTTTCTGATTTGTTGGAAGTGACCGTGACTGTCTGAGTCCTTGGTAGATGAGGGATAGCCATTGTTGTATCGTCATCTGATCTCAGATTCTTGATTTGAGAAAGATACCCATTGGGATATCGCTAATTGACGCACATTGCTGATAGATGAGAGCTAACCATTGTGGTTTTGACTTTCCTCAACCTTTTGATGGATAACCATTGTTGTATCCTCAGACGCGCACTCTTGACGAGTTATGAACACTTGATCAGATTAACTGAACACTACTCTCCCCAGAGTTAAAATGAGGGTTTTTCTGAACAGAAAAGAAACTCCTACTTCGAAGGCTCAGAGGGGTTAACGAGGTTTTATCTCCCTTATATCTCCGGTGTTTAGGAATAAAAACAAGGCTTGTACATCATCAGCAAGGTCTTACTCAAAAGCATACCAACCAGATATTTTTTTGCATTTTTAGATTATCGTCATCCTCCATCTAATCTTTACCTAGGCATAAGACTTGGGAACTTGGCATCAATATGCAAGTAAAACATTTAAAGTGTGATAACAAATGGATGAATAAAAATGAAAGGAACACTTCAAGACAAGCATACTTATTCCATTAAGACTTTCATTCAAAAATAAACAAGTTTCTATATACAAGCAATGCTTAAAAAAACAAGCAAGAATGCAAATGAAAATACGGTAAAGAAACCAATGATTTCCATCGTTGAGGAGACATGACTCCGTATGGACTTCTTGATTCTGACGACTTTCCGTAGTCTGGATGTTTAAATGGGCGAGAGAATCCCCCTTCAGATCTGATATGAACATAACAGTCTTTGAGTTAATCTTGTCTTAGACCTTGGCTCTGGATGACATACCATCTTCAATCGAATGGTCAGGTGCCCCAGTATAATATGCATAGAAGATTCTTTCAGTACAACAAATGAATGTTTTATCGAGCGAGTTTGTAAAAATTGCATCACCAAGCATCTTATGCCATAAAGAATTAGAACAGTTAGTGTTCTATCAGAACAACAGAGACATCCACCTGGTGAGAAAGAGTCCAACAGTTGGCCAAATAGGAATTAGACTTTTGGAAGAGATGCCAGATAGGTGTTGGGCTTTATACTTCAACCCCTTTACAGTTTCCATATCAAAAATGGGTGCCCTAGAATAGATGGAATCATCTAGCATATGTATCGCAATCAGATGAGATGTTTGTGGGAGGTAGATCCCAAAGATTAGAGCTGGAAATAATAGGATGTAATGTATGGAGATCGCATCAACATGCTCATCAGGCTTCTTATGTCTTTTCTTAGAAGCTTTTCCCCATGAATTCACTTGGGGAACAAAGACTGGTTGATGTCAAATAGATCAGAGAACACAAAGCTGTGGAGAACTCCCTTGATTAAAAAGTCTGAAGCCCCAGTGTGGCAACCATATCTGACGTTGGTCAACAAGAATGAAGCACTAAGATAAGATCTCATAGTAAATGGGAACCACCTACTGATAAGATGTTCTAAGAACTCAAGATTGTGTAGAACTCCATGGTTGAAAGCAATTCCCAAAAGATAAGGAAAAGAGAGAACATGTTGCGGCAGTAAGTGCAAGATTGTTGACATCATCATTAGAGCTTCCATGACCTGGCTTATCTGAGTCTTCAATAAATTATCTTCCTTCTCGAAGAATTCCTGACCACGGGCAAAAGCTTGCATGTATACCACATGGAGTTATTCCATAATTGATCCATGAGCATGTGAAGCAAGAAATCAAGTTAAACCTCTAAGGAGAGCACCATATCTGAATATGAATCCCCAATCTTCAGGTACCTGTCATGAATGCATGAGTATGCATGGGGTGCATGAATGGATGCCATGTCATGTTCTGTCATTTCCAATGGATTTACATGCTTTGATTTTGATCTTATGCAAGTAAAAGATGGAAAAGTTCAACACAAGGCTTACAAATATTATTCCATGGAAATGACAGAACATGTATGTTAAGCATGTGGTTAACCATGTTATGTATGCAAAGACATGGTATCAAATGGGACCAAAGTTCCATCATTTCTGAATATGATTGGTGCACTATTCTTAATCATATGAATATTATTAGGTCAAAGGTCCGGCATAGCTTCCGCACATACAAGAACCAAGCACATAATCAAGTTTCTGGACCACCGGATATTGTTGAGCATTCTCTGAACATGTTGGGAATACCAAGATCAAAGGCCCGAATACACCTCCAAATAAACAAGTCAAGAACTTAGAAAATAAATCTGAGTACCATACGGTCACCAATAGAACATCATCTGAATAAGTCACCGACAGAAATCCAGAATATAACCATTGGAACAAATAGTCACTGTCTGAGCATAGTCACCATCCGGACATGAGTAACCATATGAACATAGTCACCATCTGAACCTATGATAATAATCCCCTCCCTACTCACGGGTGAAGACTAGGTGAGGGTAAGGTAATGGTAACTCAAAATCATGGGTCCTCCTGGAAGCATTATCGTCATTCCATAGACGTGGAGGACGATAACACCCCATTTGTACCTCATCTGAGCGCAGACGACATGACCGAATAGTATGACCTTTGTCCAGTAGCAATCATATTCCACTCTATTCCTATGTTTCCTATATAGTGTACTCTGGCCTGGATAGTGGGCCTTTTACCTCAATAGTAATGCCCACCCAACAAGAAGCAAATCCAGTACAACAGTAGCATATGGAAAATGGTAAAATGCAATGCATACATATGCTCAGGTAAACATATATGAATGAATAAACAGAAAGCATACAAATAAACACCCAAAGAAAAGAAAGCAAGAGCTAGGAGCGACTCCGAGATGGACCATCATTTGGTCGACCTGTCCCCAGTGAAGTTGCCAGCTGACACAACCGGCTGAAAATCATCAAAAATGAAGTCGCCATCGAACGTATTTTATCCCACATGAAAGGAAAGGTAAAAATCGATAAAACCTGAGAAGGGAGAAGTCACGATCTTGCAACCAAGAGATTAGATAAGGGAGTCTGTTACACAAGGGGAAGGTATTAGCACCCCAAACGCCCGTAGTACTCTATAGTATCCACTCTTATTATCTATGTTATGGGTGTGTTTAATCTACGCTTACTGTTTACTACTAAGGAAGAATGCATGCAAAAGAATGTAGAGAAAATAAAGTTGTACTCGCTTGGGCCCTACCCCAATGCCTACGTATCCTTTTTGAGGAATCAGAGCTACCATAGCTCGGCTCACATGTTTTTTTGTTTGGTGTTTTTTATGGACGATGTTAATTTCGCCTTCTGCCATAGCTCGACCTTTGGAGACTTATGCGTTGGCACATAAGTAAATTAATCATGTCCTTACTTGAAAAGGGTTTTCTGAGAAAAGGTGCTTGGACGCACAAAAGGTTTGAGTTGGTTTGTATTTTTTTACCTTGAAAAGGGTTTAAGTGTGATTAGCATGTTTTATGATTTGCTAAAAAGAAAGGTTTTAGTTTTAGATGCATATGCAAAAGGGGAAGAAAAGAGTCTAAGGGAGACTAGCCTATTTCTAACCTAATGTTATCATACAATGGTAGTCTTAAGGTTTGGATTAACAAAAGGGAAATGTCTACCTAATCTTAGCATGCATGGCTTACAACCTAAGGTCTAACTTTCATCCAAATGAAGCAAGCGCATCCTAAGGGAACATGGTATGTACAAGGATAAAGCAATCAAGCTTGAAGAAGCACACACATAAAATAGTAAGGAAAATAAGAGAAATTCTTTTGCCAATGGGAGCGTATCACCTGAGACAAACAAGCGGGAGAGGGATGTAAAACAAAAATGTGATGTTCAAAGCGACTGAACACCTAACCAAGATATAGGAGATCGAGGTAGGCGCCAGAAGTCAATATGAACAATCACAGAGTATCAACATCGGCCAATGCGAACTCCTGACAAAGCGTGAGGGTTCGATTGTGTAACCCTTACTCACCTGACGACTCGATACATAAGAGCAGGCACAACTCAGAAGCATCGTGGTGCGTCACGAGCTAAGGACGACACAGAAGAAATTGCGGGGATCGACTGCTAACCCTTCCCACTCTCCTCCTTTTGAGTACTTCAATAAGGGATGGGGAATAGTGCGGGCACAAATATAAACACACCTGCAGAATACCTACTCAAAGGTAGGGTTTTAAACAAACCACACACAAGTAGCAAACAAAATGCACACAATGAGGAATTTCCCTAAACAAGTCTTTAAATAAAACAGAGGGGTTATTGACATGATCAATAATGGAGATCCCCGTCATACATCTCTACCCTACTTCTCATGGCATCAGAAATCAGTAAAGGCCTACTTCTCATGATCTCTAGGAAAACGGAAAAGAAGTACAATAAAATGCGGAAGTGAGGAATAAAATGAAATTGTGATGATACCAAATGGAGAAGGTATGTTGCCTCTTCATAATCATACAAGCAATAAGAAAACTCTACAAAATCTGCTTCGCACGAGTGATCAAAGAGTTAGTCTCCAAGCAATCCATATCATGGAAGATTTGCCACAATATTGTCATAAACCCTCAACAACAATGACAACTAAATGATTAGCAAACATAATATAATAAAACTATAATCAAAATTCTAAAAAATAAATTCCAAAGAGTTATATTAACATCTTTTTATTGTTTTATCATGTATTTCTACTACAAAATTATGAAAAAGAAAGTAAAAAAACTAAAAGGTAATGAACAGAAGATTAAGAGGGCCAGGGGGTGAGAACCACATACAGGAAGTATGCTGCAGCAAAAGCCTAAAGCTATGCTCTAAGGCCTAGCAAATATAGATCCACCAAGAATTTCTTTTGCTGGTCAGATTCTAAGCATTCCATAAAATACACGGGCTTACAAAAATTCAAAAGGGCCCAGAGGAATATTACTACAGAGAAGAACTAGGGTTAGATTGATTGTGGCCCTTAAGTTTCTTCGTGAAATACAAACTCCTTATTTCCTCTTCTCTTTACAGCGACGCGATCTCTCTGCTCAACCTTACCGTCTTCGCTTCTTCTTCCTCATTAATGCTGCTGTGACGACTTCAAGGCCAACGCCTTCGTCTCGCACCTCAATCCCCTTCATACCTCTTTTCTTCGACTTCTTCTCCTTCGCAGTCGTTCATCATAGTGACGACACCATGGCTCTACTGTTTCGCGCTTCGAAGCTCCATCCCTTTCTCCCTTGTCCTCGACTCAAACTCAGTAGAAAACAAAACTGCAAACGAAACGAAACGAAACATGTACCGATCGGGGTACCACCAGTGGTTCTTAGAATTAATGAAGATGATAAGAAAATCAGAGGACCTTCTTCTTTTCGAAATCCAGATGAATCAATCCAGGTACGTTTTATTTCATGTTCCCGCTTTATTCCTCTACTTTTTCTGATTATGATTGTTCTGTATCAGATGCGATCACGTTTATTTTCGACGTTGCAGAGTAGTGCAGAATAAAAGAAGACGACATTGATGTGAGGTGATAAACAAACAGCCGAAGATGAAGTATTTCACAGAGGTGCAGATAAAGGAATGAAGGTGTCGTTGTGATGAAGATGATATTGTGAAGAAATCGTGAAAGATGATTAAGTTATTGTGGTTGCTGCAGGGACTCGGAGGAGGAGTGCAGAGAAGTTGTTGTTATAGACGAGAAGCAGATGCAGATACAAGCGTGAAGAAGAAGATGATAGAGGTTTGAAGCGTGAATAGAACGATGAAGACAATGATGAAGACGCGAAGAATTCGGAAGGTTGAGGATCTGAAGAATGAAGGTTGAAGCATAGAGAGATTGAAGTTTTTTCTGGTTCTTTTGTGATTCTTCCAAGAGAGAAGAATGGTGAATCTGAAGTAGAGAAAGTTGAGAGGATTTGGTGAGTTTTCCCTCTCTCAATTTTTGTTGAATAATAATCAATCATGAATGAATCTCCCGAGTGTGAATGAATCGTATACTCTTCCCCCCATTTTGTTATGTTGCTTCAATCTGTTATCAGCTTGTCGAAGTTGGTTACGGCAGTTGGCTCTAGTCTATTGAATTCTTGTTAGGAAGTTGTAGGCAGTTAGGAACGTTTAGTTATTTTTCTGTGGATAGTTAGGGAATATGACAGTTAGTTGAAAACTGTTAGAAGTTAGTTAGTTTTCTGTTATAGGCTATTAGAAATCTGTTATAGGACAGTTAGGATGAACTAGAATTTTGTTAGAATTGGTTATACATAGTTGGTTAAAGAACTGTTAGGTTTTTGTTAGGAGTTGGCAGTTAGAAATATTCTATTATATGTTAGTTTTTGGAGGTTAGTTGGTTAAATTTCAGTTATAGGCTGAAACTTTCTGCTAGAAACAGTTGGGAGGTAGGAATTTGGTTAGGACGATTAGTATGAGCTGGAAAAATCAGTTGGAGGATTTATGTTTGTTAAAGTCCAGTTATAATCTTTTGTGAAATTTCTGATTTTCGTAATATATGTATGCAGGTTTATGCTTGGCATGGTGAATTAAAAGGTGTATTGAAGATGGTTTTAACAACAATTTTGGTCATAGATTATGTGGATACAACATATAAACATGGTGAATAAATTCAATACATAAGGGCATCAAGCATGAAGATTACTTTGAGATGTTATGGAAGTTTGAAGTTTGGTTTTGGCAACCTAAAGAATGAAGTTCATAAGTCTAGAAACTTAGAATTCTTATGTTTAGGACCAAATTTGTAATGTGATGTTTAGAACTTTGTATTCTTTTAATTTTGAATGAAGTTGAACGAACTTTGATAGAGCTTGTATAATATGCTTGAATATCTTTGAATGAAACTTGGATGGAACCTGTGTGAAACTTGAATATCTTTGAATTTGATGAAATTTATCCCATATTATTTCTTTTCAAATGATTTCCACATAGTATCCACGCTATTCTGATACTTATAGCTTAAGTCCCTGAAACAAACATTGATGGAAGAATTGGGAATGAATCCCTAATTTGATGGATGATAAATGAATGATGTTTCAATACTTGTTGCACAAAGATCTTGACTCATACACCTTTAATTGATGAAAGTTAGATACACCTAGTCATGATCACTTAGTAAGCATAACCATAATATTATAAAATTTTATCCCCAAGCCTCAAAGGAATCCTCAAATAAATGACCCATCCCCGATTCCATGGTTCTTAATTAATGCTTATGGAAATATAGTCTTATAAGTTGAGGAGACTCCAAATCATAATTCCATTCCATGCTCAAATAGAAACAACATTTGAACCATGCTCAATTGATACACCCATCTCGAACCATATGGAAAACCTAATCTTAAGCCTTGAGGAAATTGGCATGTCAACAAGGCCTTCGATTGATATGGACAAAGGTCCTTCGATTGGCCTGTTAACAAGGCCTTTTGAGTGGCATTTTAACAAGTACATTTCGATTGACATTGTAACAGTGTCCTTCGATTGGCACCTTAACAAATATCCTTCGATTGGTATATGGACAAAGACCCTTCAATTGGCATTCCAAAAAGACCTTCGACTGGAACTTCAGAGTTTCCCCCAATCAGAACATCAGAATGAAATGACCTTCAAATGGCATTTCAGTATAGAGTTTGTCTTAATATAAGATGCTCTAATGAAGGAAGTTCTGAACACTTTGAATCAAAACATAGACTCATCACAAGGCCAAGTGCTGGTCGAAGTTGTCTAATAGGGAATTTTCATCAAAAGGACAGGAAATCGAAGCAAAGGGTGGTTCAATCGAAGGACCCCTAGTATTGAAGCTGGCATAATTCGACTCAGAACCATTAAGGAGAACAAGGTTCTAATAAGGAAGGTCTTGATTGGCTCGAATTGGAGTTTAAGGCTGGCAAGGAAGCCAAATTCGAAGGAATGAAATAGGCTGGCATGACTAAGCAAAAACACATATCCTAACCTGTCCAAGTTCACCCAAAGTTCAAATTGGCTTGTGTCCCTTGCAAATATGGCAATAATTCAATGCTGATTATGGACTCAATTCTTTGAATTATAGGCCAGATTGTTTCCTTGTTTGCTCACAACCCTACAAGAGCCGATTCGACCAGGGTGATTCTTTTCGAATCAAGCAATCGAAGTAGAGGGAAGCTCAATCGAAGGGGTTATGCAATCGAAGCTGGAGTAATTAGAATTGGGACTTTGAAGCCATCAAAGAGAGCGAATTCGAAGGGAAGTGGATTTGCAGGGGCAGGTCAGCTTTCGATTTTCATCATATTGGAGGCCCAAACAACTCATGACAGGCTAGCAGTAACGCATGAAAATAGATTGACACGTGATTGAATCAAATATAACAAGTCTTTATGAAGAAATCAAATCAAATATATTCATCATAATGGACCAAGATTTGATACACAAATATGGAACTAAATTCCTTTGTCTATATAAACCTCATGCTCTCAGAGAAAAAATGGGTGAAAAAACCCACGGAGACGGCCACACATATATTGCCTCGCAAAAACACCATCCTGCCCCACAAAATTCTAGACTCCGTTGCAGGCACCTTCCGTCCAGATTAGCATTTTGATCGAGTTCTTGGAGTTCACACGGGCGTACACTTGTTCGTGCCCCAGCCATCTCACACCCAGGACTGCAGATCCAAGCGCCTCCAGTGGTAAAATGTCCAATCTCACCTAATCTTAAAATTAGACTCATGATTGCATATTCATAGTTTTTGTTATTATTTGTGAGCGATTTAACAAAGTGTATGCGAGTTGCAGTGTTCATACGTTCGAATACCATGGACATAGTTTTTTCGAAGATGGTTACTTTTGAAATCCATGATCCTGGCTGTGACAAATCGAAACCAACCCAGATCCGGGTTCTGGGATTGATTTCGAATGGGATGTTTTTCTATGTTGTTTAGTTTCAAATTGACTAATTTGCAGGACCAAAAGCCGGTGACATGTATTTCGAATAAGCGAGCAGCTCAGGTGGCTAAAGGGAATTCGCTCAATCGAAGGGACTAGGGTTCAAATCCCAGGCCTTACATTTTCAATTTCTAGCAAACTTCCTTGCAGATCCAGTATCCCAGATCGAAGGATGTCACATCCAGATCAAAATCCCCAGACGTGCATTCTCTCAAGCTTCTTCGATCAGCCCTCTGGATCGAAAGGGCACCCAAGCTTCTTCGATCCAGGCCTTACAGTTTCAATTTCTAACGAATTTTCTTGCAGATCTAGCACCCCTAAGACCCTCGAACGAGGTCTTCGGTCAGCTCATTGGATCGAAGAGCAACCTAAGCCTCTTCGATCCAGGCATTACTTCCAGGAATGCAGTTAATTTTTCCCCTTACTGTTTTGGTCTTTCGATTTCACCCTTCCTTTGGTTGTTTGACCTTACTTCTTCTAAGCTTTAATTAACAAGGAAAAAAACCACAAAAACATTAGGCCTAGTTTTTTACATTAAATTAATTTTGTTAATTAATTAATTAATTATTTTAATATTTTCTTAAAAAACTAAAATTGAATAGATTTAGGATTTTTTAATTCAATTTATTTTCATAACAAAAACAAACAAAAATTCCTTTCACTTAGGATTTAAGACGTATTTTCAATTCATGCACGCGTTTATTTACTTTAGCATTATTTTGTTAATTATGTAATTGTACTCGGTTTGTAATAGCTTAATTAGGATTTTATTTCCGCACTTTATTTTTTCAGTAATTACTTATGTATCTACACCAAAGCCTTGTAATAGCGTAGGACCTTTATTTCTTGCTTTTATATTTTATATCCTTGTATATAAATTACTAGCAACCTAGGCATGTATAATTAATCAATCAATCAGTAAATCACTAAACTAGAAGATAAAATATCTGAAAAAAGCACGCTATTGCACACATGCACCCTTAGGGTATACCTCACTTGGTTGCCTCGGAAAATGGTCATGTCCCTCGAACGTAGGGATACTCTTAGCAAAGCCTATCAGTTTAAAGTCATCATAAAGATCATAGTCCCTAAATGTCCCTCGAGTTGCCTATGAGAAATGATCTTATGATGATAGTCCCTTCGAAATGCTAAGGTATCCTTACATGTTGCCTTCAATGACTATTACGTCCCTTTCGATAGTCCCTCAATATCCAACGACTAGGGTTACCAACTCACTAATAGTAGGATAACACGGTCTAAAGGATAGGAGGAAAAGAACAGTCTTTTTCGAGTAGGTAGATAATTGTTAGGTACTTGGTCAAACAAATTTTCACACCGCAATTTTCAAACAAAGTTTTCAAAATGATTTATCACACTCTTGAGGACTAATACAAGAGTTACGATAAAGTGAATCGCCGCACCAAGGCATTTTCAAAGCTTTTCAAAGCACACAAACACGAAAGCAATTTTCAAAAATGAGCTAGTACCTAAGAGCCAATGGAAAACCATGGATGGAAAGGGTGTTAACACCTTCCCTTTCCATAATCTACCCCCCTTACTCAGAAATCTCGATAAAAGGTCTTTTTCTGTTCTTTTCACCCTTTTCTTGTTGGATAAAAGAAAAGTCGATGGCGACTCTTACTTACCGAGACATTTGTAAACACAAACACAAACCAGTATTAACAGTCGGTTCTTCCACCGTATCACAAAACTGGCGACTCTGCTGGGGATAATTATAAAATGGGGTTTACCTTAGGGTCTAGATCATTTTAAATTGCTTTCTTTGTTTGCTTTGACTGCTTTATCTTTGAGGGTTTGTTGGGGTTTTCTTGTAAGGATCCTATACCCAGATTTGGGGACACTTTTTACGTAAATAGCAATAGATCTTAGAGACTGTATGGCGTAGACCGATATGGTTGAAGCGATAGATGTGTTGGTGTGACACTTTGGTTGGTACTGGTATCCCTTGTGTTAAATCGAGAAGAATACGGGGCCGCCGCGTAGTGTCGTGAAGCACTAACGAACCTTAGAACCTTAGTTGAAAAAAATTTGGCCATTAGAAAGTAGTGAGATAGCCGGTCTCGATGTAAAGCTGGGAATTGGTTGATACTCGATACTACACTCATTGAGATTGGACTTTTGGGATGTTTCGGCCGCAAGAAAAGATTGCTAAGCTGAAATAATACCGATAAAGAAAGATCAGTGATATTGAGACTCCTTAGAACCCAATTACTATTTCTAAGACAAGTTGAGCCAATTAAATTTCAAGAGGGTACTTACCTACAAACCCCATGCAAGCCTAAACCTAAGGCTGCTATGTGATTTATTTGCTTTCAACTTGAGCTACTTGCAGGGTTTTCATCTAACGACGTGATTCCCTTGCAGGATTTGTTTACAGTCATTATCCAATAAACTAGTTTTCTTGCAAGACATACTCGTCTTCATCAACCTGCATTTTTTCTTGATGCATAACATGCACATCATAGCATCATGCCACATAATTTCCTTAACCATTTCAAGGATCTCAAGGGCCTGTGATGCAGGTTATGATGAACCAGACGCCTAGGAAGGGGAAAGGGGATATATTTTCCTCTGGCCGATGCGGTCAAAAGA